TTGCATAATCGTCCTCTTTTACCGTTTACCGTCTGAGCACACACATCGTTTTGTAAGTATAGTTTTTTCGTCGACGTTTTTTCAAGTATTTAGCTAGTTTATCGTTGTAATTTATTATCGTCATTTTATAGGAACCATCATGTACGTTTCATACGAAATGCGTTCGAAACTTGTGAAAACTGATTACTAGTAAAAGGAATAAACGACTATTATATATCCCATAACCCAAACACCGCCAAACACATACTTCCGCTAGAGGAGGCGGGAAGGAAACCATCTCTCTAACCCATTGTATCATTGCACTTACTAACTAGCTGAGTTTCACACACAAACATTTTGCTCGGGTTTCAATATGCGGCAGGTGATTTTATGGTTGGTTCCTTGATAAATAGATATAGCACACCACACATCCAGTGCCAATGGCAACACAAAAGTCGGAAAGTGTACATAAATCCAAACATGAAATAAAACGAATGGAAATCAAGATAGTCGCAAATAAAGGGTTAACCAACAGTATCTAAACAAAGCTGGAACAATGGATAAAAATAGGCAGTCTAGGACTGCATGTGGCTAGTGCTAGCTAGTAAAATAGAAATCTAATAGTTTTATTTGCCTTTAATGCAAACCAAATTGAGTAGTTAAGAACTCAAAACTTTGAACATGAAGGAGTAAATGAAGCTAAATCATGGATTTTATAACTTCATGTGAGTTTTTGATTTGTCAGAATTTTTTTTTTCTGTTGAAAATTAGGTTCGTTTAATTTTTTTTTCATTTAAATATAATAATGGGGTCCCTGTGGCAAGGAATGACGTGTGAAGTCAACAGAGCATGCTCGGAACATTTCGCTTGCGTAGTGACTGTTTGTTGATCAAATTGCCTGATTTATCGCTCATAATAATACATCAAAATACAATGTCAAGGCTGTAAAACAGTATAAGAGAAACATAAGCTAAGGCCTGCACTAGTAGATGTCCAGTGCAATTTTTTGAATAGGCTGATCCGCCGAGCTATTCAACTCGTCTCGCTTTAATAGCAAAATCCTGGTTAAAACAAAATTCATAGATCCGACAAATCAAGCGCGAGCGTGCGATTATCCAATCAGAAGAAAGCGCGGGAACCGAACGCTCGCGCTTGTCCCACAAATGCTTTCGATTTTTTGTAAATGACATTCTTTGGACGATTTGTCGATAGAATTTCCGATYAATTTTCTGTTTCTTTTGTTAAAAACAATCTGAAGCCAATTTGAAAAAGGCCTAGAGAAATGATTTAATTATTTTTCATGACTTGTACTTTGAGCACTTCGTGCTTTTTCCGTACATTTTGATCCAATTCAAGCATTTTTCTAGGCTAGTTTTTTTCTTAGGAATCAAAATAAATCGTCCTCCATTTCATCTGGCTGGCTAGCGCTCATCTGCTTTACAAGTGCCCCAGCAATGTCGCCCTCCGAACCGACTTGTTTACATTTTTTGTGGGACAACATGGCTGCCATTACGTGTCCTCTATTTTGATTGGCCAATCCAGCGCGCGCGGATAACGAGTTTGATTTGTCGGAACTATGAATTGCTTGTTATACAAGTAAGTCTACAACAACCAACATGAAAACCTGCATGGATGCTGAAACTAAAAAATAATATGCACCTGAAATCAAGAAAACCAGCAAAAGAACGACTTATAGCCTACACCAGCAGTCGATCGTGGTCAACAAGAAAGCCGCCGTAGGGTAAAGTATCGTCTGAGTCAAACGGGGATTCAAACAATGGTTCGTTTTGCTAATAAGTCGTTTCATCTAGTGAGTCTTTGAATTCTAATATTTGTTTCGAGAGTATTCTCTACTTATGAAACGGTGATGTGATTTAGCAAGGCTGTTGGGTAATTGTACAATAGTTTTTCAGCTATTGTAATTTCGGTTAGCTTGAAATGCACGATTGCGATACATTTTTCGACATAAATACCTTTGATGCTATGCACTCGAAAATACTTTGAATTTTGTTTTGTCAACAATGATAATGATGGAGAGTCAATATAAGTATAAACATATTAATTAATTCATATTTATTTAATTCATATTCCATGTATTTTGGGTCTTTGATTGTCTAGTTTATATAAAAACTCGAAATTAGTACAATTTATAATCATAGATCAAGTGAATATTATCTAAGAATGTTTTTTGATAATGTATAGACTAAGTAGAGTTCTTAAGAAAATTGATTTTACATAACATCCCACATGGACGAAAAGTCGTTCATTTTCTTGTATATATTGTATGCGCGCCCCAATGAGTATCGGGATAGCGAGATGTCTCCGCGCGGACAAGAGTGGTAGTGAGGGAGGGGTGGTTTGGGTAAGTCTTAAATACTTGTGAGGGGAGGAGTAGGCAGGATTAGTTGTGATGTCATCACAGATAATGACGTAATTACACAGGGAGTCCAACTATCACGGAAAATTACGAATGTATCCGATAAATAACGAAAATGTACCGAAGTCAAAGCGAGCCAATCACGGAGTTATCCCGAATTACAACCACATACACGCACTTACAAAGCGATAGCATAGTGGCTTGAGCCTCGTTCCGAGGCACTAGCCACAAAAAAAATTAGAGAAAAAAGACTTAAAGCGTTAAGAACCCGAAAGAGCCAATACATTACGACAAGCATGAGTTCAAAAAAACAAAAAAAACAACAGATTTAGGGAATAAAATGGATAAATAATATTCTTTTGTCTTAAATTAGCTCATTTATTTTCTTGTGTCAATTGCTATGATTTCTTTATGTTTTGTTTTGTTKGTTTGTATTTTTGCTTACTTTTTCTTTTTTATCTGCTTCTGGTTGTGCTTATGTCGTAGTATAAATGGTACCTCATAATTAAACACTTTTTAATCTCTAATCTAGTAGAAGCTGCAAATCAGGGTGATGGTGGAAAGTCCTTGACTTCTACACAAGATGAACATAGTGACGAAAGGGTCGTTGAATCTACTGGCAATGCAAAAGAGACCAAAGATCGTAAACCAGAAGCAAAATTTTATGCCTTTGATCGGTCAGACTCCATGCGGATCATGGGAAACGCACCTGCAYAWGCATTGTTCARGGAGAAAAKGGTTATGGAAMACAAACCGTTGGATGGTGATTTCGTTTGCATCCAGGCCTTTCACGATCAGATTGATCCTCCACTCCACCGTGGTCCTGCGAAAGAATTAAWAAAGCTGACAYAAAAGCAAATTAAGATGGGCTTGAGTCCTCAGGGTATGACAGCCTTGAACGACGCCATCGCTAATGTTATGTTAAAAGCCATGGAATTTCYTGAATCTAACCCGGGTCACATGGTCGCGGTTMTTATCTACACCGATGGTGAGGAGACCTCCTCTGAAAAGTATGGTGGTCRAAAAGGTCTCAAGGAAGTAAATAGTCTCGTTCTCAAGGCTCGTGATATGGGGATASATGTGATCTTCATAGCTGCAAATATCGATGCCATTAAGACAGGGGAAAAATTCGGTGTTCCACAAGGATCGTGTCTACAAGCCGGGCAAAGTAACTTCATCGGGCTTACGTTTGCAAGGAAAAGAATCCGAGCTTTATCAAGTGGCCAATCAGACCATTTGTCATTCAGCGAGAGGCAAAGAGCAGATTCAATTTGCAACAAAATTCCTGGACCAAGCAAGAGTACCTAACGACACCTTTTCGTATATAATCACCCAATATGATTTCCACGTCACACGGCATGAGTTCCTACGCGGATTATTATGTACTTATTGACTGAGTTGGCGAAAAAATAATCCCTCCGCAGAGCCAGCTAGCAAGACAACATTGAGGAGTTATTGCCAGCCAGAATTTGATTGGATCTGACACACCCTACTACGGTTAAACGCCGCACAATTGTAAAATTAAGTGAAGAACATATATTGATTTGTATGTGTTGTGATGAAATGAATATTTCCTTGAATTTGCAATGTGTTCAGTGGTTGAAACCACATTTGTTTATACCATTTTTCTGCAACTTGTGTGCCTAATGTCACAAGATGGCGGTAATGATATTAGTGCAGAGCCAGGAACAAGTGCTGAGTCCATAGGATCCGAAGCACTCGTAGACGTAATCGCTGGTCTTCGTCCTAAATCGAAAGAATGCGATTCAGACGAACAATGCGTCAACATCAGACATGGCACATCGGAAAGCTCAGCTGGGGGATATTCTAAATCGCAAAAGACAAATTATCACGAGGAACTTTCACGAACTTATATTCATAAATCGGCAGAGATGATTGGCTCACATCGGTTGCGAGAATGTTCGGRGGTCGCTCGTACTAAAGTTCATTCTGTTGTTACACAAATTTCTTTCACAAAATTTCTACTTACTTATTTGCATTCGACTCGATAGCATATAGTGTCTACTACTTTGTAGTGTAGGCAAAAAAAATATTTGTTGATCATCATCAAAACTGGACTTCAACTGGATTGCATGAACAATACTCAGCCCAACCTCGCTACATATTCAGTGTTAGACTGCAATAATCAAGCTTTCGTGATTTACTCGTGGAAAAGTACAACTAGTMTTAGAGGTATGTAAGGTACTTTGAGCTAGTTAGGTAGATCGAGTTGTAAAGACTTCCTTCGTATCAAAACAAACTTTGCATTGACCTACTTCGTCTATTTTAATGGCTAAAACCCATGCAGATACCTTGCATGATTACAGTCAATAAATTCGTCAATATTTGAAGCTTTAAAAGACTTAGCTTAAATCAAAGTGAATGAACTATAGACGAAGTAGATCATCGTTAACAGGCGCCTAGCGTGGACTTATTGGCTAGTACGRATATGMGGCTAACGACCGCGAAGGTGGGAGTATWAAGGGGGTCTGGGGTCCTCCCCTAGGAAATTGTGAAATTATTACTATTGGAAATGCGATTTCCAGCGTTTTGAGGGGCATCGAGAGCANAAGGAAAAAGAATTCTCCAAGAATTATGCATTAGCAACACCACCTGGGACGACCCAATTCCTGAAGAATCTAAGATGAGATATGAGAAATGGAGAAACGGCCTGTACAAACTTGAAAGCTTTGTAATAAAGAGAAGTTTAAAGCCCGAGAACTTTGGAAGACCGATCCAGATACAGATCCATAACTTTGCAGATGCAAGCCTTACTGGATATGGAGAAGTTTCGTATCTAAGACAAGWAAACGAAAATGGAGACATCCATTGCGCTTTCATCATGGGCAAGTCTCGACTCGTACCACTAAAGGCAGTAACGATACCACGTCTAGAATTAACCGCAGCTGTCTTAGCAGTACGCATCGGAGCCATGCTGTACAGAGAATTAGATGTCAAAATCGATGATAGCACTTACTGGACAGATAGTACTACAGTCCTCAAATATCTGAACAACGCCCAAAATCGATACAAGATCTTCGTTGCRAATCGAGTGCAGACAATCCTTGCCACCTCAACCGTAGAACAATGGAGATACGTGGAAGGAAGTTCTAACCCAGCAGACGATGCTTCCAGGGGATTAGAGCCCACTGACCTGGACAAGCGATGGATTACAGGTCCTGAATTCTTATGGAAGGCCGAAAGTACGTGGCCAYGGAATCCTGTCGACGTCAAAGTGTGCAAGGAAGATCCAGATGTGCAAGAAATAGTCTGTCTCAACAGTAGAGTGYARGGCAACATCGATGTAAACAGAGATTTTCTTCAAAGATTTTCTTATTTCTCTAATTGGTTTCGTCTGAAGAGAGCCATAGCATTAGTCCTGAYACTGCAATCAAAGTATCGCAAGAATAGCAACGATCAGAATAAAGACAACGGTCAATGTAAGATAAKAGAAGAAGACTTGACTAAAGCAGAGAAAGTCATCATTAAAGTAGCCCAAAAATCCACCTTCGCAGAAGAGATTGCAACGCTAGAAAGACTAAAGGATCAAGAGACCGATAAAAGATCAGCCATGAAACGGAAGAAATGTGAGATCAAGAGAACAAGCTCGCTATTCCGCCTTGATCCCTTCTTAGACAAGGATGGTATTCTGAAAGTAGGAGGCCGACTTTGCAATTCTCAAGATTTACCGCCAAACCTGAAACACCCAGCAATTCTTCCTAAAAAGGGACACATCACAGAGCTTGTGATACGGAACGCACATGAGAAGACCGCCCACAGTGGTAGGGGTATTACATTAAACGAGCTCAGAAACCAGTTCTGGGTAATTAATGCCAACTCCATGGTCAGATGGTTTATCTCTAAATGCGTAACATGTAGACGACTTCGYGCACATGCAGGAAGACAGAAGATTGCTGACTTACCAGAAGACCGAGTGACCGCAGCACCGCCATTCACATTTTGTGCCGTAGATTATTTTGGTCCGTGTTTAATTAAGGAAGGAAGGAAAGAATTYAAGAGATAKGGAGTATTATTTACATGCTTAACCAGCCGAGCCATCCATTTGGAATCTGCAGTATCTCTCACTACGGATTCTTTTATTAACGCKCTTAGAAGATTCTTGGCTCGAAGAGGACCAATCAAGACAATGAGGTCAGATCAAGGCACCAACTTGGTAGGAGCTGTGAATGAGCTAAAGGAAAACTTTAAAAAGATGGACCCAGACAAGAATTGGAGAGTACTTGCTACGTCACGGGAATGCAACATGGCTAATCGATTGGAAGTTCAACCCCCCTGCAGCGTCACACATGGGCGGAGTTTGGGAGAGACTAATCCGCACGGTACGTTCCATTCTGGTAGCTCTGACACGCGACTATGGCCATGTCTTAAACGATGAGTCATTCAGAACCCTACTAACAGAAGTTGAAAACATTGTCAACAGTAGACCCTTGACCTTTCCAACTGACGATCCACAAGACTTAACGGGCCCGTTGACACCGAACCACGTGTTGACTWTGAAAGCAAAYGTAGTCTTACCGCCACCAGGAAGCTTTCAGAGAGAAGATATCTATCTCACCAAACGCTGGAGGAGAGTGCAAACGCTTCTGGAACTTTTRTGGACAAGATGGAAAAAAGACTATTTACAGTCCTTACAAGAGCGCAGCAAATGGAACCGACCGCACCGCAACTTGAGTGTTGGAGACGTTGTCTTAGTAACAGACGAAAGAACATCAAGGAACTCTTGGCCGCTGGCTAAAGTTATCGAAGTCTTCGCTGATGCTAAAGGTTTAGTCCGAACAGTAAAGATCAAGACCCCATCGACAACTCTTACCCGTCCGATACACAAGCTTGTACTACTGCTGGAACATTGAACATTGTCATAGACATACATTGCCACTAAATTTATAGTCTTTAGATTAATAAGAGTGTCACCCTCTTATCAGGGGGAGAAATGTAACGGCGATAGAATAATTTTTGTTTTCTTTGTTATATGTATTTAGTTTGTCACGTCACGTTAGTCCCTAGTGTATTGTAGTTAAGTTAAAATCATTTACATTTGCATAATCGTCCTCTTTTACCGTTTACCGTCTGAGCACACACATCGTTTTGTAAGTATAGTTTTTTCGTCGACGTTTTTTCAAGTATTTAGCTAGTTTATCGTTGTAATTTATTATCGTCATTTTATAGGAACCATCATGTACGTTTCATACGAAATGCGTTCGAAACTTGTGAAAACTGATTACTAGTAAAAGGAATAAACGACTATTATATTCGTTCAAAACGATGTCAAGAAAATTCACGGTGAAAGGGAAGGCCTACAACGAGGAGAGACGGAGAGCCAACTGTAAATCTATAGTAACAAGAATCCGAAAACTTCAAAAGAATATTGAGATAAACTGTCAACAATTCGATAATGTTCATCTGGTGCAAAGCGACTTGGACAATGTTTATCAACTTGGCGACGAATTGAAGGAGCAATATGAGTCATGGATATCCTGTTTAGACCACGAAGTCGATGTTCATCATGCCCATAGCTGGTACGAAAATATCAAGCACGAAATAGAAGTATTTGTGGCAGGAATTAACGACTGGATAACCATTGCAAAAGATCAAATCGAAACTCATCTACGAACGCCCTCGGAGCAAGGAAGTGTTTGTGCATCGCTACAATCAAGTAAATCCGCCGCACGAGTAAGATTGGCAGAGCTATTGACCCGATCTGAAACGTTGGAAGAAAAACAAGCTCTAAGAAATCGTATGGAAAGACTTGAAATCGACGAGCAAATTGCCATCGCCAAAGCACAAGAACGAGCTATCTGCGAGACAGAAGAACAAAGAATGTCCAAAACAACA